AAACGGCAATGAAAGTAGCTGGATTCATGAACATCAATTAGTGTAGGTGGCACAGAACTATCATCATCATCATCTACTGTTAGGGGTCACAATATTGATATTGAAACAGCCTTTACAATATAGTACAGAAACTATCTTGGGAGTATATATAGGTTTGTTGAAGCGTAAGGCATATGCAAGTTGAAGCCTCCCTTGTGCGTTGAAAAACAGATGGTCATTATGCAAAATCTACACTGGTGGTAATTTCTGCCTTATTCTTTTACCAAGGTTGTCTTCAAAACTAATCGTTCTCTTTTCATTACCTGTTTTATGATCAAATTTCTTTAAGTAATACACATTTTTCAGATAAATTTGTGTACTTTATTTAATTGATAGCGAGAAGATGGATTTCGCCGAGGATTAGTGTCTAATGTCGCGAAAACTAACAAGTTGACAGAAGAGGCAGCGAAAACAGGAATTCAAGTGAATATAGAGAAGACGGAGGTGATGAGGATACCCAACCAACAACAGCATCAACAAAAGCACCAATCAACATTAACGGACGAAACCTAAAGGAAGTAGTCTCTTCCACCTACCTAGGCAACATCCTCTCAACTACAGGCGGCACAGACGAGGGTGTCAAAACTAGGATCGGAAAAGCAAGACAGACTTTCACTAATCTGAAATCAGTATGGAGATCTACTGCACTCCACTCAACATAAAGCGTGAACAACATCCGGATTTTCAGCACCAATTTCAAGTCAGTGCTTCTATGTGATGGTTCAGAGACTTGGCGCGTCACGAAAAGCACTTCCAACAAACTACAGACATCCATCAACAACTACCTACGCCCGATACTGAAGATCAAATGGATGGCCAGAAAGAATAAGCAACAAGAAACTCTAGTAACGAACCGACCGAGAACCTATCACCCAATAAATATGCAGAAGGAAGTGGACATGGATTGGGGACATAACGCACCAGGTCAGATTGTCGAGTGGAATCCAAATGGGAAACGATGAGTTGGGCGTCGCGGCTTAAGGTGACATGGAGATCATGTGATGAAGAAATGAAAGCTTGTGGGTAGTCGTGGCCCTAAGTTCAAAAGACTGCAGAGAAGAGAGTGGAATGGAGGTGTGCTACTGAAGCCCATTGTTCCACTAGGAACCTAAAGGAAAAGTAATAATAATTCAGTTGATGATGTCTTACAACACCCATTTGAGTGTCTTGAACAAGATTTATGCAAGCTATCACAGTAAGTTTTACGCTAAGAATGCCAACACGAGCATTCAGTTGAAAGAGCGGAGCGGTGATTGATTATTAACATGATGCAGTTCTATTCTAGGTTCTACGTTGATCTATTTGGAACTGAGAATACTTGTACTGAGTCAACAAATGTCAACATTGTTCATAAATTAACGTGAATTCCCAGACGTCAAACGACTCGAAAACTTTAGGGGTTAGATAGACAGACAGAAAAAATCGTTAGAACTTCGTACACAACTTCATCGGTTCAAATCGCCACATCTCACAGTAATATGCAAAGAATAATTGGACAGCAAAAGAGAGTGATATCAAAGCAGACAAAGGTGTAGAAAAGGAAAGGGAATTTAAAATTTAGGCTTAGTCAAAACATTCAGGCTTCAGAAGACTTCTGCGCCATTGTAACCGGTTTTCAGCCATTTTTTTCACTCATATGCTTTAACTACTGATTCCTACCGTAACAGATACCTCAGCCAGGTATTCTACACCTCCCTACATGACTCAGACCAGCATCAGATTGGTGCCACGTTATCATGCATAGATCAAGTTTGAAGTAAATGCCGATTAATTTGTAGCCTACTTTTGTTTTCTATATAAAAAGTGGATAAGAATTAAGCAATGAATCGAAGTGAAATGTTATTAACTTTCATTCTGTTTCATAGAACCTTGACTGACTGGTCTATGCACTCGACTTTTAACAAATGGGTCACAATTTCAAACTCAGCTACACCCCCCAAGGTTTAGGCAGTTAAGGTATTATGTCATCCGCTCTGCTGACAGTTATACCTCACTGTGTGACTGCGTACGTAGTTGCTGACTTGTGTTTCGAATCTCTTTTATCATCTTTTTAGTCGGTGTATCCCTTCATACCACGGCTGCTGTGCATTTTACTGAAGAAAAAATTATTAGGTCGATATTAACATGGGGCCTGATACTGCTGATTACTGTTCAAGAAGCCACACTTCATATCAACATACAAGGCAGTAAGAAGAAAGATAGAGAAGTAGGAGGGGATGTAATCAAAAGTCACACGAAGAGTGGGTAAAACAATAAAGAAAGGCTATATGACGATTAGGATGCAGTAAATATATTCTGACTTGGATAAACTGTAAGAACACAAAGGCAACAGTGAGACTAGCCACATAAGGCTAACAGAACACATCAAAAAATGTGTCAGAAAATTTGAGGCATACCGACCGAATAGAGAACGGAAATGATATCTCAGAGAAGGTCTATTCCGTAAGAAACTATTCAGTTGCCAAAACATTAATTTATACTCACCACATATTCAGATCGAAGACAGATAACTAACTACTAAAGTCCCCTCAAACTATGTCCATCATCTCGGATGCAGAGAATGAATTATTAGAAACATCTTCCAAAACCATGAATAGACAAAATAGTTTTGGCAGGTATTTCGAAGAAACCGCATACGTTCTAACAGAAAGTTTCTTAAAAGCCATACAGAATGAATTACTAACCTAGTTTTTGAACCTAATGGATCACCATAGCTTTGTTGCTTTTTCCGTTGGGACGTGTTATGTATGCCTAGTCGCCGATTGCTTCGTCACACAATACTGGCTGAAGTAGGTCCAGGCTAGAAAAAGGCCCGAGGTGGCCAGACTAAAACATGGCACCAATGTATGAGGTCTCTGACTGTTGGTTTGAGCCATGTGGGACGATGAAGACTAAGTGGGTGAGGTCCGTGGGACAAGAGGAACCAGTGGTTGGAGACTCTAGGTGATCACATGGCTCAGAACCGATATCAGTGGCCCAGATGCACACGCATATTATCCTCATTTTAACGACGCTATACCGAATCTCACCACTTTCTCATTCTTCGTTTCTCTCTTTACGTACTTTATATTTCTTTTGACTGCATTCACTTATCTTCATCCTTCACCTCACTGCCTTTTTGCTTGATGTACTGATATGAGGTGTGGCAACTCGGACAGTTACGCAGTAATGCCTGGTCCTAGCTTGATCTGGATGGATGTTGCTTTTTCCAACTCACCGATTAATGATAATGGATGACGATTGAAGGTAAAACGAACACCTGGCTCACAGCAGGATTCGAACCAAGTGTTCATTATCATTATCCGGTATCAATTACATTAGTCTACCAGACTACAGCCATCTCAGATAGTTTCACCGATAACAACTGGTTGATGTCAAACCGCTTCTGTCATATGTATGAAACTATTTACCGTTTCTGTGTGCTTATTTCAAAGCACTACATCTTATTTGTCTACCATCTCTCAGCCTTTCGATATAAGCCTTCTCAATCTTATACATTTAACTCCTCTGTAATTCATAAAGGCAATGTCTTCTTTTCGAATCCCCTCTCTTACCAAACTGCATCACCATTAATATTCTCCTTTGCTAAAGTTTGTTTCTGCTTCCAACTGTACACTTACATTTTATATATTTAGCGAAATTTGTTTTTCTCGCTTAGATGAAAATCTTCACTACAAGTGTACAACATTAACACAATACACCCAAAAAAGATAACTCTCTTAGCTACCCCTACACCACCTTAACTAAGTTACTACACCAATTCAGAGCAAGGGATTGACCATGGAATGGGATTCGATAATTACAAGTAAGTGGAATAATAATTTCAGTAGAGATCCTTTCCCTTTTTTAGATAAACCAAACACTTACCGACTGCAGTCTGTTCATAACTCATAACTTCTACTAATGGGTATCACAGATTCTTGGGATAACTCAAAAACAGAAAAAATCATTGTAGAACCTCGCACACAAGTGCATCGATCATGGTTGTCACACTTCATAGTAGTATACAAAGAGCAAGTGGGTAGAAAAAGAGTGACATCAAAGTAGACAAAGTTGTGTGACAGAATAAACAATATGAAGAAAGTTAGTACAAACACTCAAAGGGTGAATACATCTGCCCTGATTTCCAGTCATGTCACCAAGGATCCTCAACCACTGATTCCTATCGTCTAGGCCTCCCCAGCCTGCCAGCAAGTCTACATCTTCCCACACGGTTCAGACCAACAGTCAGACTCTACCGACTGATGCCACATCTTAGTTTGACTACCCCTGAACCCTCTTCTAACCTAATCCAACTTCCTCCAGCCTAGTAAGGAACGTCAAGGTAGGTGGTGGATCAGCATATGCAGTAAATGTCCAAGTTATCTCAACCTGATCAGTCGATTTGCCTGTCTTGCCTAGTACCATAAGCCTGACTTCAACAGTGCTCACATGGTGATTCAAATGCGAGCAATGCTACGAAGACACCAGTGATCAAAACCCTCTGAGCGCTCGATGAACGGATGTCCCACAGCCGTATAACAGGATAGAACGGACTTCACTGTAGCATACTCGTCTTTAGGTAGATAGTCACGTCTGTCGCCAGCGTATGAGACGACGCAAGTTGGCAAACGCCAGACGGGTCTTCTGCATCTGAGCTGAGATTCCATCAGCAACCAGAGCGTTCATGCTAATGTGCCAAAAAGTAACTGATCGGAACTTTCTAGCTGAGACGCTTTTAATGTCTGAGTGCATTCTAATTTTAGACAAGTGTGAGTCAAATTTAGTGTCCTAGCAACAGTCAATCTAAAACGTAAAATGACCGGAACACTGCTGGAAAACCGCTCAATTTCTACATTGACCAACTTTACCAAAGCCAAGTTACATCTGGAACAGTTAATGTTCTATAATACCCATTTAAACCTTATCCAGTTTACTACTGATGATCAATCATTACGCAATACGAAATTCAAAAAGCAATTGAATCAGTGCAAAAGATTATATTAAAAACTTTAGTTACAATTTCGGATCAATGATAGCCATTATACATGCGTGGATATCATCCACAGTTTGTCCAGTTGCTGGTATCCAGTGCCAAAGTCGTGGTTCACAATCTTTTGTCTCATCGTTAGCCTCATTCAACTCTGACTCCATTTCACGAGACAAACGACCATAGTTAATAAGAACTTGTTTTTGAAAATCCGGTGTCTCAAACTTCTTTTCCCCAAATCCATCACGAACTGATATTTCAGCAAAATTCTCAGGTGCAAGACAAAATATGAAATCTGGTTGTAGTAAGCCAGATTCCATATCACGACACCATTTCCAGTCATACTCTGAGAGTGGATGAAACTTTGCAGCTGTGTTAGCAATACCTGAATAGCTATAACGATCCACAACAACACTAATGCCGCTCTTTAAAGCAGTGGAAATTTTATCTTGATGCTCCCATCTGTTATGAAAAACAAAACAACAAAACATAAGTAACTGCTCAATTGATAGCCCTCTATGTAATCTCATAGTAGCGGCCAACTTCAGTGCACAGGTACGGAGAACAAACTAAGTGGTAATACACGTAGGTTATACTTTAAGAACTCCGACAAGGATAATCAACATAGCACCTCGCTTTACTAGATTGCACTGTAAGCTGTTATACTTCTACATCAGTTGACCAAAGTGGAAGGTGGCGATAGGTTAGATAAAGAAATATGAGTTGTATAATCAAAGGCCATAGAAAAATGTAGAACATAGAAAAAGAAATAAATCAAGTAAGGGAATAGGATTTTACGACCAAGACGACGATAAAATGATGTATATGCATCTCAGTCACCGACAATGATTCGGAAATATATCCCCTAACTTTGAGAAACTCATACAAGCTACCACATAATGATGACCGCTTGATATGAATATAGTCAGATAACAACTCATTCTTCAAAAGCATGAATTTTCGATACCAAGAGAAACAGGTTGACCTATCCGATACCAACTTCAACAGTGGGTGCAGACTGACTAAATAGCTATATCTTACTGTTAGACAAGAACTGTATGGGATCATTAGTTCATCTGGAACCTATACCTAGAATTTTAACACTTATGTCTACGCATTAATCTATGGAAGACCATTTACGGATACACTTGTCAAGAATGCATTCAACGAAAAATAGGATGATGAGCTGGTGGAATAATCCAACAGACAGAAAGTGTAAAGACTCATATAAAAGTGGAACGATTTAAATTGCCAAACCTTGAAACAATAATTAAAAGGAAAGTATCATTTAGACGATGAAAGATGCCCATGAATTCATAAAGAGATAATCCAGAGAATATTTCTTTTTTTTCGTACCATATCTGGTATCTTTCAAAAGACATTTTAAAAGAAAAGTCCAACGACATGCTGCTACAAAACGATACTGAAATGTTAGGTGAAGTAGCCTCGATAGAAGAATGACTTGACTTTTTTGATTAGTTATCAAATTAATGTAACTCATAAACCTTTCGTATGCTTATGTACCAGGCTACGAGTCATATAGTATGTGAAGGCATATAACACGAACCAGCTGCCCAAAGTGGGTGGAGAGATATTTACACCCATGACCTATTGTATGAAAGTCGAATGCCTAAGTTAACATGCCGCAGTATGAACCCAAGTGGTCGTTTATCGATACTGAAAGCTGAATAGTCAAAAATAATTTACAAAATAACTGCTTTTCTCTGTAATTTAACACCGATTTATTTCGGTTTGTTCGCAGGGAATGAGACATGAAACAGAACTATCTACTGGATCCTATTGTGGACACTATTCATTAGCATCGGTTGCAAACAAGATAATCCAAGCAGCATGTAAGACTTGATTTTTGTAGGTCCAATAGTTTAGGTTGATGGCAGGTCTCACGTTAATACTGACTAGGTGATTAACTATCAAAGTCGTAGAATCTCCAAAATCACTGGAACGAGTGATTTAACCTCCATTGGGGTGTATTAAGTGTTGGAATATTTTTAATCCATCAGTCCTACTAGAATTGGTCCTAAAAATCGACTTATCTACTACTGAATCAACTGATTTTATAAGTTTTATGAGTAGATAGGGCAAATCCTGTTAACTTTCAAGCCCAAATGAAAAAGGATTGAAAATATAAGAAGTGTCTTAAAATTAAATCCTTCCTTGATTATGGATGGTCAAAGATGTGTCTGAAATGCTATTGATTAAATGACAACTGCCATATCTCCCATATATTGTTCAAAGAATGCTGCATATATCACAAATTCGCAGCATACTTGAGAAGTGCATATTTGCCTTTGTTCCAATATTCATCTTATATGATAGCATAACTGTTTTCCTTAACTCAGCAATTATACGAAAGTTTAGGCACCAGGCAATGAGCTTTGCCTATTGTAAAGGCTAGAAATATTATCTGGTTAGCCGAAATCCCATAGGTAGAGCAGTGTTCAAATGTATAACCCACTGTCTAGACTATTCCGTTACAACTACACACGACTGCATCCACACTGCAATAACTTACTTAATTTTCAGTAGTGAGACCCATTGGTTGTGACACTCAGTTGGTAGAGCATCAGGTCGGGAACCCGGTGGTCGCTGGTTTGAATCCGGCTGCCGTCCAAATTTTCATTTCAAATTCATACATCACCCAATATTCAACTTTCCGGCAGTATTCCGAGCTCAAATATTGCCCCCATCTACTTCGACATGAAAAGTCAGGTAGTAGTCTCATACGTCCCAACACATCAAGAACAGATTCAAACGCATAAACCTGTGCTAGGTTGCTAGTTGTACTACACTGTCTTAAATAATTTATAACTATTTTACACAGGAGATTGTAGGACACGCTATTGTTTTGAAACCCACAAAAATTGCTACATAAACTCAGGTTATATGGGAATATTCGGCCGGTATTGAAGCATCTGCACAGGAGTCCATCCGCCAACAAAGGTCGAGCAATTCGACTCGGTAGTGCAACGCGAAATTAAGTATCAAAAAACAACTGATACCCATTGCACAAGAGGTGGTTTTCGTGCCTCAGTAGCCTAGCAGATAACTCCTTGGTGTTTGAAATGATGAGTACCAGGTTCGAGTCTCAGTGGGAAGAACACTCATCGGGGTCCAGGTGGATGCGGCTGATGAGTCTTAAATAGTAAGAAAAGCACGCCCTAGACTTCACCACTAGTCACTAAGTAGACTACAATATGTGAGAACTTTGTTTACTTATTACTGACTGTGTACAGTGTGCAATCACAAGGAATGAAGTAAAATGTCAGGATTTTTGAAACTGGTTACCTAACTTTCATCATACTAACTGAAGTGTATCTTTTTTTACTAATCATGACTATCAAGAACAATGGAATGGGTCACCTTTAATATACCATAAAACGCGAACCATCATTTTATCGACACCGGTGTTCTGTAACTGCAAATATCCATAGTTAAATTTACAAGTAATAATATAATGACCAATCTTTCAACTACCAAGAAATCCTAGAGATCTTCCTACCTGTTAGCTATGTACAGAAGATGAGCTGCATGTGGTTCCAGTTGAATTTTTCCATCTGCATACTGAGCCAATAAATTTCCAATTGGTGTTGTATTGTCAGGAAAATGAATGAGTAAAGCCGATTTGCCGGTGATTTGAGTCAGTGCTTCCTGTAAGAGCTCTGATTGTGTCTTTTTACCACATTTTTCAGTGCCCTCAAAAACTACAAATAAGCCACGTTTTGTGCTCCCAGGCATTTAAAATCCGTAGTAAGTTACGTATACAATCACCAAGATCCGTAATAAGTCACAAATGGACTGAGTCTAGGAAATAATACCGAAATAATAAATAATAAAATAAAATAATAAAAACATCAGCAGAAGGATAAAAAAGGTAGTGATAATAATAATTCACTTTATTCCGAACAATTTGTGCAATTTAGAGTAATCAGCATGACATATTACAACAACAACAACAAAATATGCGTATGCTTATACTCATTTACAAGATTTCGAATTGTGATTGAAGTGAAATAAAAATCTGGTCAGCTGTCGGATCGCTTAGCTCAGTTGGTAGAGCATCAGGTCGGAGACCAGGTGGTTGCTGGTTCGAATCCGGCCGCAGTCCAAATTTTCACTTCACCTTCAATCATCACCCAGTAGAAATTTCGAATTATGTTATCATAAAAACCTAATTAATGTAAAAAATATTAAAGACGAGAATATTTTACATCGTTAATTAAATTATTGAAATGAGATTGTTAACAGTTACAAATTTGATATGTGAGTTCCAATCTAACACGCTTTTCTTTACATAATATGCGTGCTAGGTAAAGTACAGTTAAACTCTTGTTGTACGAGCGTAGTCTTATGTAGTTTCTTCTTGTCCTTCACGAGGAGATACAAGGAGAGAGCTCCGAACGAAGCAGATGCTCAGTGTCAGTCAAAATGACTAGCTAGTTGCTTGCCACAATTTAAATATCTATCAACCATAGTGTCAATCAGCTGGGCCAGAGGCATACCACTCTCCCCGCTAACGGTTTTCAAGCCCCCACGCAACATAACCTTTTTTAGAAGACCAGAAAAGACCAACGGGGAACAACAGAGAAGAATAGGTAAAATGCAAGAATTTATAAACTGTACAAGTAGAAGTTGAGTTATACCATACACCCTGTTTCTTTATGCAGTACGTTAAACGAAATATTTTTTATGTCAACAAGATATATGACGACTAACAAAGATTAAAAAAGAAACCTAATCCAAGATAGTTAACATTCCTTTTACTTTTTGCAGAAATACCATCAAAGCAACAGGCGTCAAGGGACTTAGGCAGATCGCACAAGTTTTGTTAACGCCTTAGGATAAAATTAACAGTCTGACATTGAGATAGGTTTAACCTGGGACCATAAATTTATTCGAGGACCTGTCATGATGAAGCCTTTTTTAGTGCAGCAGACCACTAAACATGGAAAACGTACTCTCGTTGTCAACTTTTCTAAACTCCAGACGGCTGAGTCACCGACAACTTCTGCAAGGTGTTAGGACTCAAGTGGAAGGTGTTAAGGCCTAAAACATCCTGTTTTTAATATGCATTTAGCTGATGACGTAGGTAATCATGGACTTTTGGAGGTTTTTCCGTCTTTCCCTTTGGATCTCGTGCGTAAAACTCGGAAGAGAATACACTTCCATTTTGCTAGGGACAAGCTAGTAACACTATTCGTCCAAATCTATGTAGAAAAGCATGATCGACCCAAGGTTTTCTGTGAATCGGACATTGTGACAGCCGTTTTAAATTTTAAAAAAAGGGAACGGATGTTCATAGGTGAGCAGTGTACACATCATACACTCCTGACATTTTTTAGTTAACAGAAAACAAGTTCGGTCATATGAGCGGGAGATAATGGAGTCCATTCCTAAGCTAGCAAGGATCCATAATCCCCTACAGAACCTTTTCAAACGAGTAGTATCCAGATATTTCAAGTGTAAGTAGTTATTCACGAGGCTACATAGACTCCCGTAACTCAGGTTCTCCGAAAATGTATCTACATACCGACTGAGAATTATGAAGTAGTACCATTGACACACAGACTTCTCTAAATTTTGCGGATCCCATTGGGATTAGCTGGTACAACTTCAGCTTACAAATTTATACATTCTTTCTGGCATTTCGTAATTCACTATGTAGCACACACTATGAGTGGCCTAGGTTAAGAGTATGATCCCTTTATTTTAAGTGACTGCAACAATGGATCTTGTCTCAATTCAAATGCTAACAGCATACTTTCTCAGTGGGTTGAGTAAGTGACAAGTGCGGAGGAATGTTTTCCCACAGGCTTCTCTACGGTGATACAGCCCTTATGATCGCATCATTGATAAGTGCCTTCATTAACTCTTCCTTTACTTATACCTACATCAGGCTTTCAATTCAAGCAACATAGCTAAAGGATGTTATGTCCGCTTTACATTAGATCTCAACTGCAGACTCTAACTTTCCTGGAGTTGCATGGTATCACATTGTTGTATGGAATAAAATGTTGTAGAAGTCTACATTTTGTTATTCCTTGACACTAAATACGATCCCATAAACACTGCCTTATAAACTCAGTCAGCACTAGCAAACAAGAGTGGGGTGAGTTGTACACTTCCATAGGTAATGTATTCAAAAGCTGTAGTAAAAAATATGCTTGCGGGAGAAAAAACAGAGGTTAAAGGAAGGAGGTATGGGCACATGGTCAGCTTTCTGCAACGCTTCTTCTCACCAAGTTATCATTTTCGCGAGGCCATGGGGGAGTGATAGGCTGATATTTTCTTTCAGGCCGGGATTCATCGTGGACTGGCATCAGCTGCAAAAACACTGGACACCTGAGAGCACTGGACAGCTTTTCCATGCTAGTAAGGGACTCCTCAGCAGTGCACACCCATTGAAGCAACCGGAGTCAAACCCGTGGCTTTCCAGTGCTCCCAGGTTCCTAATGTTTCCCAAAATGACGTCAGCTCATGCTATATACCAGCCCGAAATCAATAAAATCCCAGCAAGCTTTCGAAGTGAATTAGTATCTTTTTCCTAGAATGCAATTTCATCACGGTCTATTGGTCGTACCAAATGAGACATGTATAATGTGCTTAACTACAATATTAAGCATCAACAATAAAACCCAGATATGTTCTGTAGACAGATAATAAAAGGAGTAAGTTTTCAATAGGACATTGGTATACCTGGGCTAGCAAACGTCAGGTCAGGTTGGCGTTGCCGTCATAATTGCATGCTGCACAAAATGTGAACAAGATGGATAAGGTGTCAATCGAAAATATGCGGTTTTAATTATAATCCAGCCAACATTTACTTCGGCCGCACTTTTTAGACTTCGGGTTTTAGCCCGAACCTATTTCGGATACATTTACCAAATTTCGTATCTGAGCGCATATTGGAGCTCTTGACACTTTCGGGGACAAACTTTGGAACTCTTGACAGTCTGAGGGAAGCGTTTGAAAACTTCGAGGGAAATCGTACGTCTGCTTGTTTAAGCCCGATGTAAATCCTTCGGGTTTCTGCCCAAAACTTACACAGTGCGCAATCCTGAAGTTAATGGTGGCTGGGAAGTATTAACAAAAAATTAAATCGTTGCAATAAAAAAAGTAGGCTGCATAACAACGAGGGGCGAAACTCAAAAAAATGTTGCAAGACTCTTCGTTTTGCGCCAATTTTTCAATGCAACCTCTCATGGCCCACGAAAAGGTTCACTGGGTAAGTGATTACGTCCGAAACGGGTCGTTTCATCGTTAATGTTGCAATAAGTAGACCCTGACAAATATGAAGATATACGTAAGGAACGTTTGGGATTTTGAGAATAACACTGGCGTATAAACCCACTATTGCAAAGGATCCTCACTGTAGCGCTCGTACTTTAAACTGTAGATGATGAAATTGGACAAGCTGTCTCAAATGCTATAACTTTATGTTGTTAAAATTGCAAAAACTTATTCTTTCAGTGCTGCGAAAATCTTATTAAAGTGTCTTCCCTCTTCAGATTAGTCCTAGTCCTCGTCGTGATCTCAGAAAATCTGGTATAGTGGAGATTTTTTCACTAACCTCTTTCTTTCTTATACTTTCGTATCCGAAAACCGATACAAAGGCGGGGATCTTCTTTCAGTTTAGGCCATCCAGCTCACAGATGAGATGGTGGACAACCTTATCTTGAAAGCGGCAGGAGAAGCAACGGTAATAACTCTTTCAGGTCCGGAGTTTTGAAGTTTATATATCTGTAGCGACAAATGACTCCCCAAAACCAATAGCCAAGGGTTTGGCAGATTCAATACTGATGTTGGCTTTAGAATTTGTCCGGTTCTCTGACTGGATCGAATTATATCGTCAGCATAATATATTTATAGCGTTATGTACTTCTTCAAAACCAACAGCCTAAGGTCCGACGAGATACAACACTGATGCTGACCATCATGATTTTGTCTGACTTTCTAGGCTGAAGGCGCATGGTCAAGTATCCACACCATTTGCCACGCTGCCACATCACGTTGCGCTGCTCGTAACTGATCCTGCAGCCAGTTAGTTGAAACGCGTCGATACTTTACCACGACCTCGCAAAAATATTATCCCATCTGACTACGCTATTGGGTTCTTCCTTGGTCTCATATTCGTGGGTGTATAACAAGTTCGAGTAATTAGTGGTTGGCCCCTGTGTCTACCAAGTTCGCGCATGGGCAATTCCCAAAGTAAGCTGTGTTGCTGCGGTTGAAATACAGCTCTTAATCTTCAGGAAAAGTAATCACAATAAAAGCTTAGCCGGCAAAGACTCCGGACTAAGTAGAAACTACCCAAAGTTGGCCTTGGGATTTCGGAAATTTACTGTAAATGTTTCAGACCAAGGCTAAAGTTGTCAAATAGCTCTTTCTGGAAGGATTAAACTTCAGTCTCAAGGAATAATTCTTCTAAATGGTTTATCTCCCCTGATTTGGTCAAATCAGTAGCCGGTTTTTGTGTAAATTCTGCCGGAGGATTCTCAGGAAAGCCTGAAGAACAGACACTCAGAGGGATGGATGCGCGGAAGTTACCTTAACTTTATTACTGGAGGGTCAATGACAAATTTACAAAAGTTCTTATCAGATATTTGTCACCTCAAGACTCTTTTATCTCTTTACTTCGTAGAGTTCGTTTATCGTCACTGAAATAGGTTTGTAACCAATCGGCTGTTTCAAGTCCATTAGGCAAGTTGCTGATCGTGATCGCTGTTCATTTTTTCACCACCCGATTTCCTTATCTTCACGCAAATGCTTAGGAGAAGACAGTTCACATTAGGGCTTCGATGTAATAATATGGTTTTTATTTAATATCTTACGGCATTTACTGCTCTATTTAAAACGCGGTCTAAAATCAATATGAGGCAAAACTCAGGCACTATGGTGGAGCATACTTTTTAATCATGTTATTCAAACTTGGAAGAGTCGCTCCTACCGTCTCTGAACTATTCACTCACTTTCCAGTTGGAAATCTTTTATCATTTTCTGGTCTGGCTGTCTCTTAAATCTTTTGTCTATGGCCCCACCCGCCCTCCTTTTACAATGATGTGGCAGGCACTACTAGCAATGACCATCATACCCCACATTAGATGAAAAACACAGTTCAAACTGTCTCACAAGTTACCAGTAGTCAGCTGGCTGTCCGTCGAAATCACATAGCTCAAATTCTGGGAGCTGATGGCATATTTTATCCGAGGAAAAAGTCACATTTGTTTTCCACCCTCAGGGATTCTCCGCAACCACCTGTCATCCTTTCGAGTTCTTCGTGTTAAATTGCCCGATGATCAACTCCATCTTGCACTCGGATCCTGCCACCGCCCGACAAGGTCAACTCAGTACATTTCCCTTTAACTCAAAAGTTCGTCAGAATACTATGGCGATGCACATACTCTGCTCGTTCGGGGTGATGAGCACATAATACACTGCGCAACAAACATGGAAGATTGTGTCAGTTAATGATGTTGTGTACGCGTTCTCCTCTTTTTCATTATTAGGAGTAAATTATCCTCGTAATCGAATCTCATACTCGCATTTATATTCCTTTTCTTGAAAAATTCTAGTGAAATTCATCATCGTGAAACGTTGCCACCCATGAGACTCTTCAATATTCGTCATCTTTTATATTTTCCAATTTAATTTCACTCACAAAGACGTGGGTCTTTAAATCCAACTCTTTTTGTAGGCCTCGCAAAATACAATGGGCACGATTCTCGTTTCGGACGTGTCCCCACTGGTCCAAGGATGTCAACTGGTGAATAGTGGCTAGACGACTGGCCACAAACTTGTTACATAGGCTCAATTCGCTTCTCATATGGTACAGAAACATCATGAAGTCCGTCCAGAAATAATTTTCGCCGACCGTAATTGGAAGACTTTTCCCCAAGAAATTCGTTCATCCTTAAACCTAAAACCGCGCCTGAAACATCCCAGCAGATCAAGTATGCAGAAAATTTACAAGTTGAACAGGTGGAAGTATCGCCTCCACATCAATAAAAAAACCAGATTTGTATCTCGACACTACGTGTATTACATGGAGAAAAAATGAAGCTTGTAGCTAATACTTCCATCGTAACAATTTGCACTTTTTGCTTGAGACAATGATGAAACGTTTATGAGAGAATGTGTGCACGAATTGTTTTCTTACCGTGCTTCATTGATGATTCCAGAACTGTGTAATTCATGCATGTCAACACCATTCCACATCGGAGATTCATAATCTTGATGAATATTATGACTGAGAGCCAAACATCTTCACTTTTCCAACTCAGGCATCCAGAAGCAACAAACTTATTTGAATGTGCCAAGTGGATTTCTAGGACATCTTGTCCACCGTTTACACTGGTTGTGACAGCCTTGTGAATGGTAAGTGTTGGACTTTCCTGGTCACTTTTATAATAAGTAAATCCTAGATTTAGGTAATTATGAAGTTGCAGTCCAGTGAACATTTTTTATTTGTCCGTTGTACATAGGTATTGTGAAGACAGTAAAGCTGGTTACTCCCCACGAAGGGTAGTTTCGACCGAGGTTTATTCCTTAAATAATTAATTCCAGGTGAGGACCAAGCCAACATTTAGGACTGAATTGCTTTTCTACAACGAGAAAAAAGCAGACAGAGCAGCGGACAGAGAAAGAAGCAAGAATTCCAACAAGGAGAGTGTTGTCTGTTTGCTTTTCTCCCTAATTAACCTTCCTTGCTACGGCACTGATTGCATGTCCTTTTTCTATTGAGTAATTAGGGACATAAATTTCATGCTGTCGTGTAGTGTAGAACTTCTGTTTTGATTACTATGTCCGGGTAGAGCAGAATGTGCCATTAGTTTGAGGTCATAACTTTTGGAAGTTTCCCCAACGCTTCGTATGATGGGCCGGAGTAGGTGTAGTGGATGTCTCATTAAACATTGGGAGGGCCCGGTATACGAAGTGTCACGAAGGATACCGTTGATGTATTCGGTAAACCCGAAACGTTGCTACCTGATAAGAAGTTAACTAGTGACCAATCTAATTCAGAGGTTGATTTGGAGGCTTTCACTTTGGCAAAATGTCTGTCCCAAAGCCAAGAGAATTTGAAGGTGACTAAGCCTGCACGCAATTAGGATTTGAACGGTTTCATTGTGGCGCTATGGGTATAGTTGCGCAGATTGTACCGACTATTGTGTCCAGCTGAAACTCACCACTAGCTGCAAAAGTGAATTTATGTAACGCATAAAAGAAGTGTCAGGCCAACTTTGGACAGTCTCATCCAAAGTGGTTCTAAACTTAGGGTTCTGCATTTGGAGCTGTTGTTCTGTCTGCTATCATGCCGTAGTAATCTAGCCGTAAATTATCTTTGAATTTCCTTCATTTTTTGTCTGGCTTGTATGCGGATACCATTCAACATAGATGGGCAATATTTCAATTGTGGACGTACGCGGGTTTTACAAAGCAGTAACTTGACTTATTTTAGGAGAAAGTTACGAGCCATGCTACTCATTGCGATCCTAGATTTAAGAGTCTGCGATGGGACCTGTTCAGAAAATGTGAGCTCCCTTGAATATCTTAGTCCAAGGCTACATACACTTAAGAATGGGTAGTTTCGTCGACCGAAGATGCAGTCGGATGTCCACCGATGGAGTACTGAGACATATCCAGCCACACCTGCTTATAGTGAACTGCAGTTTCCAAGCAGCAAACGTGCAAGCATTGTATCAAAATTGTATATAGCCTCCGCCACTCATCACTAAGTCAGGGTTTAAATAGAAACCGGGAATACCTGACGTATTTATTGGATAGAAGTGAAGTATGGCAACTTCCACTCAGCCCTAGTAAATGCGGAATTCTCTGTCTCAATAATTCCTGCCCAAAAGTCAGTTTACACCTAAGTGGTTCTGTGCTGCTGTCATATAACCCAGTGTTTGATTCAGGTACTAGGTGTTCTCAGAACTTAACGTTTGCGGAGTACGCCCAGTCCTTGTTTCAATGTGTAGGCGACCAGTTGGCCCTTTTGCTGAAGCATGTATACACAACTGAGGCTAAACTGCTTTTTTCAAACTTATGTCCCGCCCAGTACTTGAATATGGTACAATCATCTTCAGCAATATGTATGTTTGGATAGGATATACACTGAAAATGATCAGAGAGAGTTTACCTGCTATGTACCTGCTATGTATGGGCCATCAAGAAGAACTTGATTATGAGGGGAAATGTAAGAAACTGAAAATCTACCCAGTTTGGCTAAGATGCCTTGCGCCCAACCCTGACCTATTTTTCCGCCTATTGCGTGGCATTACTCATGCCTGCTGCTCTCCTACTTTTGAGCCTACATCCTCATACAGTCTATGCAGTCGTTAGTGCACTGTACCTGTCGAAAAACACCGCATTAAACCCAGGTCATAATCTTTTATTA